ACAGTCTCTTTGACAATTACCAGAGTCATTCTGTCACCCTGTTCATAAGTAATTTATTCTAGAATGAGCTTCCTTCATCGTACAATTTCCTCAACAGCAGTGGCTGACGTTATGCAATGTATCTGTCTCATGCCAACTGATGTTTATTCTATGATGACAGTGAGGGAGCAGGACTGAGGGTCTGAAATAGATTGAGTTCAGTTTCTAAAGTGTTAATGTAAATGGTCAGTTTGAATTTTAGGTCAGAGCAATGTTGTCCAATAAGAATGTAATATAAGCCACATATGTAACATTCGATGTTCTAGTAGCCAGAATTTAAGAAAAGATAAAAAGAAACAGGTGAAGTGATCTCCCGATAATAAATGTCTAACTTTTTAAAATTTAGAATAAAATGTAAGAAAAAAATAATAATGCTAAATACTGGGAATAACCTCATACAATTGCTTTATTATGTACAGATTGTAAGAAAAAAAAAGAAATAGGTGAAATTCAGTTTATTAATATATTTTATTTAACCCAATATATCCAAAATATTGATTTCAATATATAATCAGTATAAAAAATACCAATATTTTACTTTTGTGTGCATGTATTAAGTCTTCAAAATGTATGTTTTACACACATCTCAGTTTGGACCGGCCACATTTCAAGTTCTCACTAACACCTAGTGGTTTTCTTAATGGACAAGAGACAAGAGAGAGGGGAAAAATCAGGAAGTATCAGCAGAAAGGTTTTAAGCCGCGAGCGAGGGTGGATAAGATGTTTTTGGCGCAGAGTTCAGAGAAGCCTGGGAAAGATCTACATTTTCACTCACAGAGCATGTAAACTAGGAAGAAGAGCTGTCAGAGTAAACTTGGGACGTTAATAGGTTAACCAAGAGTTCTGGAAGCCCAAGGTAGCATGAGTTTCCAAGGGGTTTGTGTGCAAACGCTGCTAAGCAGTCAGCAAGGATTTCCTGATGGAGTTTCGTTGAAAAACAGTCCTTGAGTTTGAGCCTTTCCTGGTAGGAATCTCTTCTCCTGCGCTAGTAAGTACAACATGATAGGAGTAATGCAATCCTTATTCCCTTTTCGATTGTGCACAGACCTCCTCCTCAAACATATCAGCTCAGGGTCTTGTATCAGTTCAAAACCCTGTGAACGTGGATGCAGAGCTGTTGGCATCTCGACTGAAAATACGAGCAGTCTAGGAGATGTACCAAACCTATTCGCTAATTATGACAAAACTGTAATGTAGGAAAGAAGTATAAGAAAGGGAAGAAGTTGCAGGAAAAACTGAGCAAGAAAAGCTCTTT